CTTCTTATTTTTTTATTGACTGAATCGTGTGAATTAACCTGATAATTTAAATAAATATAATCGTTGTTATGCCATTATTATTACAATTTCTTAGTTTTCATAAATATACGTCTCTTAGATATTAATAAAGAGTTTCATCAAAATCTTTTTAAAGTTTCAAATAAAATATATAAGTTTTCTTGCCCTGAAATTTAGATTGTGAAAAGTATTTTATTTTCAATTGCATATAAATAAGAGACTATTGACAAGTTGTCAATGCGACAATTTTTATCAAAGAAATATTGAGTGTTCCGAAATAAATAAAGAGAATAATTTTTTTTCTGCATAGTTTAGTGTAATTTATATTAAAACTATTCCTAAATATCTGTTAAGTGTTAGAGAATATTCATGCAGCACATCTGTGCTGCGTAACTTATATAAGCTCTCTAGTAATATTATAAAATTAGTTTAGCACAGAAGATTTTGCACATGACAAAATCAAAAAGCATTAAACTTTTTCAAAATCACAAAGTCGCTTGCTTCTGATGAGAGTGACGTTTATTCCCGTGAGTATTAAATAATTTCTCGCGTTGTTACGTTCTTGCTGAAGCAAGTCGAACCAGCCCTATCTAAACTAGTTAAATGGCATCGTCAAATAGCGTCAGTCAGTCACAGAACCGTGAAACTGTGACGCAGCTCGTTCGCCAGTGCTTCGTTTGAGGATCCTCTCACGAGTGATATACTTTCGATGTAGCACTAGTACATTTTAAATAACCAAAGAATGCAAACAAACTTTTTTGCTTTCACGATATCACGTATCTGTTATTAATAATAATTAGTTTTAATTTTAATGTTAATTAAAACAAATTTCTCATCGTGCATTACTTTTTAAATCGTTGAAATAATACGATAAATATCACGAAATGCAAAAAATGTTATTTTATCATTTGTGGACTGCACGTGAGTGTAAAAGATTTTGCGCACTAGAAGTTATTTATTATTTAATTGTGTACGTTGTGTTTTTTGTCGACGTGCGCGAGTAATTTTCACCCCAGAAATATTCGCTCGTTATACGCAGCCTCTGCGTCTAATAATCCATTGCTACATTCGTATATGTTTTCTCATCGTTGGTTATCTTTTACAACTGTGAGGGCATACTTGAGAAAAAAAATGTCCATACGTACATACGGACCTGGGATCCATAACCCTATGATATTCATTTGTTGCAATTCACATTGTGTCATTTGTGCACTGGAAATGGAAATCATGGAAAATCACTCTGTTTTTATTCGATAATTTTGTAATTTTTAACCCGATCAGGGAAAAAAAACTTGTGCCACCAATCCAACGATCGCGAAAATTATATCGTACCGATATTTAAACCCCTCGTTCCATTTTTCTTTCTTGCGCGCGTTAAAAGAAAGAACGTATTCGCGGGCATCACTATTCATAAACGAATCCGGTATAAAGGGATTGCAGAGGAAAAAAAATATAGTAAAGAATTAATATCGTAGCCAGGGGTTCGACTCACCGCGCTTACTCTTTTTTCACCTTTTTTAAGCTCCATATTGCTTTCACATACCAAAATAGTTTTGCATTTCGGACTATCTAGAGTAAAATTTAATAACGGCCACTACGGAAAATAGGAGGCGGCCCAGCGCGTCAGACTGTGTACATTGAAATTCCTATGGTGTTTGTGTATCCGAGAATCATGTAAATATCAAGGCAAGGTCGCTTTATCGGCACTGACCGGCGACGTAGCCGGTTGAAAGTAATTAATATTCGACTATTTTCGTCCCTCGCGCAAATAATCACCGCTAAACTTTTGCATAGCTATTCCGCACGCTCTCTGGCTTTCCCTCTCTTCCTTTCTGTGCATACACCTTTATGCGTGGAGTTCACGAGAACGTGCGCGGCTCGTTGGGAAACTCGAGTATCGATTCGTTCTACCGGTAAACCATGCATACGTAACTACTGTTTGTGGTTATTACTGTTAAATTTTAGCTTCCATCATAATGTATGCGTGTAAGCAGACCATCGCACGAGGTACATCCTCCGGAAATTCAAAGGTCTCGCATTACGCAACGTAAACTGTACCGTGGTTGCATCAAGTCGAACGCAATAGAGACGGAAGCTCGTAGTCGGACCTCAGTCGTACGCAACATCCGCCTTTTCCTTTCCGCGATTGTATTTCTTGTATAGCGATAAAACAACCAAAGCGCGGTGACCTTTTATAATCGCTTGTATCTGTTATTACGCGCAGAAATGCTTTAAAGAATCGCTGTTTGACATTTACAATTCTTACACGTATATATTACCTGCTGATTATTAATGCACAACATAATTTTCTCTCTTTCTCTCTTTTATGAGAGCAAATTTTGCATTTACGATAGTAAAGATATTTTGCAACATCTTGTCGTATTAAGAGATTCATATATGTATAATAAATAAAAGAAAAAGTAATAAAAAATATTACAATCAATATAAATCGTCAGTTGGTGAACAAATAAAAATAATTAAAACATTAAAATATTTGCAAGTGATTGAAATATTCCCCCCCCCCCAAATAAATGCGTGTTTAGCTGGGACAAAAAATTTATCATATATTGCACTTCTCAAACAAGTTATGTAGTTCTAAGATAACTTTTAATAAACAAACTAGTCACATTGTTGGCTTCATATATTTTTTTATTGACAAAAGTTTTTCTTTTTAAATGGAAAAAATTGAAAAAGAAAATAAATCAATACTTTATTTAAATAAAAAAATTTGTTTATCGATAGCCTTTGATCGATTTTTAAGACAATTAAAAAATTACGAACTTTTGTATGTCACACGATGTGTCGCGCGAAAGCAAATGGATCTCTAACAGAGCTCTCCATCGAGGCGCGGGTGGCAATCGATTTCGAGGGTACTGGCGGCCTTTCTCAGCACAAACGCAACATGCGTATATATTCGCGGACCCGAGTACACTAGGGAATCCTCGCAAAATGATAGAAATGGCTGTTTTGGCCCACTTCGGAATGGACGGCGGGTTTTACGCGCCGCGACGAAATGATACCTGACAATTTTATAGAGGAACACATTTTGTGTATGTGTATATCCGAGTAAACGCATACGCGTAAATACCTGTGCGCACATTGCAGAATGCGTGCGCGGCTCCATACACGCCCGTTTACCGCAACGATGTCTTTCATTTCACATCCGATCGAGCATCTAATTTCTGCAAGACTGAGTTTCACATGGATTCCTCGACGCAACAACGACGACATTGAGAGCACAGGTAAAAATATGCGTAATAACCGGCATCGGGAAGGTTGAAACACTTTTTATTTTGTAATTTTACGGATACTTTTATAGAAGTGAAAAAGCTAAGAGTTATCAAAACATTGATGCAATAATATTGTTTGAAATGCATTAGTATTTAATAGATTTAATACGTTGTTATTATTATTATCTTCAAGTTACACAACAATACGAATATGATATATGCATGTTCATAAAAGTTTCAGTAACTCTGATGGCAGCTATCAACGATATACATGGTACAGCCAATTTTTATTCTGGCTTCCTATGCGAGATTTCTCTGGGAAGTATCGGGTTATTACATCAATTATGCTAATGCCGCGTTTGTAAAAAGGATCATGCGTCCGGGATTTATTTAAGGGCGGTTCTTGCGTCACCAACGTCGCCGACATAGTCGTCGTCGACGTCGCATCGGTCGTCTACGAGTCCCGGCACGTTAGAGTATTTTTATAAGAGCCCAGGGTCGCGCGAGAGATGTTAGGGGGCGAGAAGAAAGTGAGGCGCGACGAGAAACGAAAAGAGAAAGCGAGATGCCCAGGAGAGTCGGCGAAGAAGTCGACGAAAGATCGCGGTGGCAGATGACACGGGGCAAGGGCGGGGATCAGGAAGGGATGTGAAAAATGGAGGCGTGCCGAATGAATGCCACCCAGCGAAAAAGACTAAGGACGTGAGAGGAAACGCGCTGTGCGAGATATGTACGAAGAAAGTGAGAGAAACGGAGATAGCAAGTTCCACATGTCGACATCTCGTATATCCGTAGAAATAATCGCTTTGTCTCGATGCTCTTACTTCGTTTTCAGTCCTTTTCCAATATTAGGTTGTAGGAAAAGTTGTTTTTTCTATTAGATTTTGTTTTAAACAAAATACTGGTTTCTTTTTTAAGAAAATTTTTTCTATCTAAAAAGAAAAACTTCTTTCTAGATGAAAAAAGTAGTTAATATTAAACCAATAACGTGACTAGTTTGTTTATTAAAAATTATCTCGGAACTGTAATATAATAATTTTATTTTCCATTTATTTGAGAAATGTAATACAATAAAATAATTTTTTGTCCCAACTATACACGTATTTTTTTAGGGAAAAAGTTCTCCGATCATTTGCATATATTTTAAAGTTTTAATTATATTTATTTGCTAATATATAAAAATCTTTACTCGATATAAATATAATAACGATTATCGATTCATGTATATTTACGGATAATAATTCTATCAATGCAAATTCAAATATTCGTGTTTTTATATAAAAAAATAATTCATATATGGACACTCGGCGCATGTAAATTATTTAGTTTTGATTGATATTTTTTCTATATTTTGTTAATGTTTATAAATTAATAATCAATAATGTATTTTAAACTTATAAAGATATAACATATATTACAAATGCAATTTAAAAATTTTTAACAACACGTATGTTATACAGAGTGTTAAAAGCAAATTCCTGAGATTATTTGGAAATAAAAATCTTTATATCAAAATGTTGAGATTACAAAGTTTTTAAATGAGACGATGAAAAACTGTTTAAAAGTGACAATCAAATTGTCAAAAATTCACGCACTCAAGTACGTGGCTTTTATATTATTACCATATGAGAAGCCTCAGAAATCAGCTATTAAAAGGTAATACGGTTAGTTTTAAACACTTTGTATATTTTATATCATTTTTCAATCTATTTTCTCAATAATATTGGAATAAAACAAATTGGATTGACTTACCGGTACGATGCGCAGCAGCGGAGTTCATAAGTTGATCTGTAACAAAGTACATCCAAATTATAGCAGCAAATTATTTAAAATAATTTATGAATAATTTAAGAAATAATTATTACGCACATTAAACTTTTACTCATCTGTCATGCAAATATTTAATTAAAAAATTATATATTTATATCTAATAGGTAAATAAATATTATCATAAATATTAAAAATTGCAAATTACTTACTGAAAGATTTTATTTCCAAGTTTTCATGTGCGTTACATTACGTGATTGATATTTTACGTGCAATATTTGCAAATATAACAAATAAACTTACCCTAAAGTTGCTCCGCCGACGCCCGATGCCCTTTCTGAGCCTCATCCACCTCTCAGACTTCTTTGTAGTTCTTCAAGGTGCTTACACGCGTTCGCGGCCTGAATATAAAAATCGCACGATGTTTTAAACAGCACTCCCGAGTCTTTCGACGCGTACTTTATTATTCGGACAAAGTAAAATACAAATATTCTCGCACGGATTACACGTTTGACACTCTCCGTAATAGGTAACAATGGAAAAAATAAGATGAAAAATTGTGAGAAATAGTAAGGATATTATTGGAGAAAAAATAACACACCGATACGTAATAATTTGCCCTGTACAAGTGCCGCCGTGCGTATGATAATGGAACAATAACAAGATCGCGCCGACGATGACTAGAAAGAATGTGGGAAGTAGAAAGCAACAATGTTCGTGTTGATACACAGCGCGCGAGAGAAAGGGGGGGGGGAGGGAGACATGAAGCGCGCAGCCTAAACGCGATGACGAAAACAAACCCCACCACACGCCACGAGTCGACCTCGTCACTGTTAATATTAGAGCATTTATTGAACATCTATCGAAATCAAGTTGAAATCGAGTTAAAATCGAGTTCAAACTCGATTTTAATAAATATTTGATAAATGTTACAAGAGTTTCGAGACCAACTTGCTGCGTGTGATGTTGTTTTCGTCATTGCGTCCTAGCGTCCTAGCGTCTAGTCTGAGAGCCTTATATCCTCTCTCTCTCTCTCTCTCTCTCTCTCTCTCTCTCTCTCTCTCTCTCTCTTTCTCTCTTATACCCTATATATCCACACGTACATTATTGCGCCTTACTCATCACATTCTCCCAAATCGGAATCGGTGCGATTTAGTCTTTGATATGTTTATTATCCTTTTATCATTCGCACCTCGTACAGAGCAAATCGTTCCATAACAACGCATTATCCTTTCCAATAGTACTATCCTTATTATTTCCTGTAGTTTTCGATTTCACTCTTTCTGTTGTTACTCGTTACGGACACGGTAGAGTGTCGAATGTGTAGTCCGTGCAATAATAGTCTGTGCAAGCTTTACTATAGCTTTAATTTGACAAAATACGCGTCGGGAGGGTCGTTTAAATATTGTGCGATTCTTGTATTCTTGTTTTGCATCGCAAATGCGTTGAGTACCTTGAAGAATTACAAAGAGAACTAAGAGAAAGAGGCTCGGGCACCGGAAGAGCAACTTAAGGTAAATAAATTTAATTGTTATTTGTTATTGTAAAATATTGCACTTTGGATATACTTTGTATGTTACTTTGTATGTAGATCAACTTGTGAACAACTCTGCTATTGCGCATCATGTCGGTAAGTCAATCTAATTTGTTTTATTTTAATATCATATCATTTTAATATCATTGAGAGAATAAATTGAAAAATAATGTAAAATATACATGATGTCTTAGACTAATCGTATCATCCGTTAATAGCAGATTTCTAAGATTTCTCATATAGTAAGAGAATATAAAAATCAATATGCGACGTGTCTGCGCACTTGAATTTGATCATCAGTTTAAATCTGATTTTCACCTTTAAACGTGTCCCATTTAAAAACCTTGTAGCCTCGACATTTTGGTATAAAGATTTTTGTTTCTAAATGACCTCAGGAATTTGCTTTTAATGGGTGAGATACATTGGTCTGGTACATATATTATAAAACAAAATCGGAAGCCGATTTTATAGATGAAATTTAATTATAACAGACAGTTCCGATATCTATCCCACAGATAATTACATTATTAAATAATTCATACATGAGTAACAATAATATTTTCTTTGTTACTAACACATTTTTCATTTTACTAACATTAAATTCTGGTTTTCTTTAATGTGGTGTCACAAATAATGCATTTTACATTTGTGCTACTAATTATACATTACTTTTCAATCATACCAAAAGAAAATATAGTAAATTACATTATTTTAATTTACAATTTGTTAAATTGTAAGACATTTTCTTGTGACTGAACAAATTATAATTTCTCCAAGATAAAAATATTAATTTTGTTTCTTTCCAAAAACTAAACATTTTACAATTTGATATAACAATTTTTGCTGCAAAAAATGCAATAGTTCGTTTTGATAAGAAATATGGTGTTTTGTACATTTGAAGCATCTCTGAAAACCTCTCATCATTATGAAGTACAGCATCGCGGTATTGTTATGTTGCAACTGGTTGTAAATGTGCGGTAAATGTATTCTATTAAATGTTACTCAGCAACGGGTATTAATCAATACGCAAATTGCGTCGCGGAAATGCGAGTCAGTTTGTAATATGTCGTTAAATTGAATGGACCATTATTTATAATCTCAAAAACGTGCTTTTATCACATTAAAAGTCCTGTTTTATTTGATGTAAAAGTTAAAACATAATAGGTATCATCCGTTATCGTATTTAATGTATAACGGTGTACCCATAAAGTTAAAATTTTGACATTTATATTACTGCATTATACCTAATTTTCAATACTTATTGATTAAATATTAAAAAAATTGAACACATTTGTCGGGAAAGGTAAAAAGATATTTTGAAAAGTAGTCAGAAAAAGAGAGATTAGTCAAGTGGACAGGATAAAAATACGTGTGCCAGGAAATCGATTTGAGAGATAAGCAAAACATAGTTCCTGTGCTTCAGCGGTAGTGAAGGAAGACGCGCAAAGAGAAGCTAAATGAGCTGCCGACGCGGCATCGCGCCTTCACGGAAGCCTTTGTTGTTCAGGTCGCGGGACCCACACGGAGTTGACGATAGCTTGTACTAAGGATGTATTGTAGTCGCGGACCTTGCCGAGAGAGCACGGCGACTAATGCGGGCGAATTACGCGGCGCATCCGAGTTTTGGTTTTGTTGCGATTACAGGCGCAGCTTGGTAGCGGGTATTTTCAGACGAGCGCGTGACGTAAATTCATTATCGCAGCACACACGAAAACGCGCCAATGGCAAAGTCTCGCTCGCCAAAGTCTCTCTTCGGTTACCGCGCTGGATAGATACGTTTATCCCGTTAACTCTGGATAAACTGCATTTTGCGAAATTGTTTCTAATTACACGTGGACTTGTTTCATCAAAATATGCTTTAATCCGTCGTAACTTGCGTGGTTTTTTCAATTACTCGCGTGAGGTATATTTTAATCTCAATATTATATCTCTATTTTCAATTTTCTTTTTGATGTTTTACAATTAAATAAAAATTGATAATATTCTACATTTATATTTTTCCAATAAAGGTAATGAATATTTTTTCATATATATTATATATAATATAAATATTGAGATTGCGCTAAATATATTTGTAATATCCAAAAAAAATTTTATAATTATGCTTGTTTTGTAATATAACTATATAAGAGTAACTTAAAAGGTAAATTGATATTAAAGGAAAAGAATGTTTTAAATAAAAATTGATAGTCTTTTCACATTGCTCTTGCAATATATACATTTGATATAAAATATACGATTACTGAATAATTAATTGATTAATAATTATAATAGAAATAATCAACGCTAAGATAATCGTCGAATTCATATTACATTTAATTACTTAAATTATGCATGATTAAATAGAAAATAAAGGAATATTCATGGCATTGTTTTAATGAATTAACGAATAAATTAACATGCAAATTTAATAAACGAGTTTACTCACCAGTCGATGCTCCGTCGTTGCATATCTGTTTGCTTCTTCTTCCAGTGTCTGGTTTCGTTCTGTTTCTTTCTCCTGGTTGCTCCTTCGTTCTTAACCATCTCCGTGGATACATCGTATGGTATTCTTGATCACTATGGTGTTCTTGATCACTATGCACTCACGTATTGTAGTATATTAACTCGTTACTGCACTCATATTTCGTAAAATTGGGATTTTCGAAATCCGTTACGGCAGCGTGTAGGTTAGCGCGATGCGTTTTTACAAAAGACTTGTTAATTGCGATCGATACGGAACAATAAACGTATTGAAATCATCGCTGGTTATTTAATTCTACCGTCGACACTCGTCTGCATGTGAAAATCATTTTCGGCGAGTTAAAAGTATGCGAGAAAGAAACGGAAACGACACAAAAGAAATATATATCAGCAGCGATCCCGCGCAAATGCGATACGCGAAGTTAGGTCGCGAACGGAGGGAAGGGGTAAGGCGTTGCCAATGTTGCCAAAATCTCTTTTAAACTATCTCTATAAGTACGAACGTGACGTCACGAGATGTCCTTAGCGTGTTTATCAGTTGGTAGAATGATATGTTGTCGGACCGAGAGGTCGCGTAAGGTTGCGTCGTTCTGTGTTTCGCGCGCATAGTGTTTTCATTATAGTACCTCCAAAAAATGTAAACACACCTCGAGAATGTTGAAGCGAGCCATAACATCGTGGAGATGGAGCAATATATGTGAGATCGGAATAAATTCTTCGGCATATATTCGTGTAACTCGCAGCTTATCGCATCACGTCGAAGATTTTTCGTCGTTTTCAAGCAGCGATACGAAGCTCTGTTTTTCGAACCTTTTCAACGTATCTTGACAGTATCGAAACTGACGAATTAAACGACGGGCGATCGTCTTGAATCGGTGCGTATGGCTATGGTTTTGTCTTTCGACGCTCGTAAGAGTAACGATGCCTGTGTTTTGAAATACACTGGCAATGCTGAAAACCTGCAAAATACGTAACACGAACTGTAGATTGTCAATACTGACGGTGATATTGAAACACAGCCTATTATTTAGGCTGCGTTCCGAAATTCACTGCCAGTACTGAAAATCTACAATATACGTGACGTAAACCATAGATTTACAGTACTGGCAGTGAATTTCGGAACACAGCCTTATTGGCACTTGATCACGTGATCGTGTGATCATCGTAGCGTCTATTACGAAGTCTGTAGTGAAGTGGTTAGCGGAATGACGATGGAGAAAATGGACGAACGAGGTGAGCGTCGTTCTGCGTTTCCCGCGCGTTTCTCTTCGTTGAAATGATTTTAGTACGCGATAAATTTCGGTAGTGTCGAATCAAGCAATGAACGATCATCGTGGAGCATTAATTAGTGCGTACGGTTATGAATATTTCGACATTCGCATAACTCGCAGCCCGGCGCATTGCGTCGAAAATTTTTCGTCGTTTTCAAGCAGCGATGCGAAGCCCCGGCTTTCGAATTTTTTCAACATATCTTGATAATATCTCGAGATTGACGAATCAAGCGACGGGTGATTGTCATGAATCAGTACGTATGGCTATAATTGCCCTTCGACTTCGTAAGGGTAACTATTATTTATTGGAGCTTGGTCATGTGATCACGTGATCATCGTAGCGTCTATTGCGAAGTCTGTTACGTATGAAGCGATTAGCAGGATGACGATGGAGAAAATGGACGAACGAGGTGAGCGTCGTTCTGCGTTTCCCGCGCGTTTCTCTTCGTTGAAGTGATTTTAGTACGCGATAAATCTCGGTAGTGTCCATTCAAGCAATGAATAATCATCGTGGAACGTTAATTAATGCGTATGATTATCAGTCTTGATATTCGTATATTGCAGTCCGTCGCATCGCGCGAATATTGTGCTCGTCGAATCTCCAAGCATCAATGTGAAGTCGTTTCGAACTTTTTCAACGTACCTCGGGTGCAGGGCAAAATTACGGGCGATCGTCATGTTCTGCGTTATTGTCCGGGAATGCATCATGCATGTAATCGCGCGTCAGGAGTATTGAATGCATTACCAATCGACATGACGATAATAACCTCTTTCGTTGATATTTGCATTCAGCGTTTTTTCATGTGCAGTGCTCGTCTATTGGACGTTATCGCGATATCAAATTTTTTAATCATAATTGTTTCGCGTTTGTAATAATCGAGCTTATTTCGGAATTATCATTGTTCGAGTTAAACGTTTTTCGCGTTTGTAAAATTCGGGAGTGCCGTTTGAATTACGGTCGTATCGTAAGTGATAAATTAGTGCTACATATCAGCGGAGCAGAATCAACGAATTACAATGGCGGAACTACCGGTTTGCAACGGCAGAATCAATGGTTTGCAGCTTCTGCTCGGATGTCCTCATCGGCTGGTGAGTACCTTTTATTGTTAATATTATATTACGTGATTAATTATTTATTTATTTATGATATTTATACATTATGATGATTACGTTATAATGATTGAAAGCAATCAAAAATAAATATTAGTTTAACATTTATTTCTGTGAATTAATATTGAAAGATATTTTTCTATTTTTTGCATTGTAAAATGCTAAATTTAGTCTAACAAAAATAAAAATAAAAATATGATAAAAGCAAAATATATTTTGCGTGAATAAAATTGCTTTAAGAGAACTACGTAAATATCGACAGATTAATTTTTATTTATCTAAACAAGAATAATTATTAATTGTCTTATTATTATATTATCAATTAATTATATTATTAATTTATGTTATTTTTATAGTATTGATCATTATCATTAATATGACTTATTGTTAAAACTACTTTATTTTGTACATTATATGTTAAATGAGCATTGTTGCGATTATGAATGGTGAAACATATTTTCTTTCTATGAATAATAAGATATGGGGAGCTCTGCACATAGGCGGGACTGTAAATTTTGTGGGTAATTGAGCTCGCAAAGAGTTTTTTTTAAGGCTTATGCTTCATTTTTTAATTGCTTATTCATGCTTAGCGGTAGCATAGTTACTTTTTACAAATTTAAGAGGCAGCACCTGCTACCTCTTGCCGTCGTCTGCGATTGCAATTAAGTACTTTCCGCTTTTTATTACATTTACTTCTTAGTTTCTGCATACTTTTATGTTCGTCCTCATATAACTTGCCTCAAAGAGATAACACAATTTTCAGCAGATATTTTGTGAAAATTATAAAAAATAGTTCAGTTTATTCCAAAGTTTAGCTTGTTAAAAGTCAGTTTATGTTTAATCAGCAGTTCTAAAAAATTATATTTCAGCGTTTTTTTTTAAAACAGAATTGATTCTTAATTTATTAATAAAAGTAAAAAAAACTTTTTACCGCAGTGAAAAGATATTTCATGTTTGATGATTTTAGAATATTCTATATCCATAATATAGTACATTTTTGAAATACCTAACATATTATTTATTTAATGCTTAGCATTTATCGGAAAATTTTGTGAAAATTTTTAAATTAACTATGCATTACTACCATATCGTTTAAAATAATTTGTAGAAAAAAATGTTACTGGCGAACAAAAGTATAACCAGCCATGAATTGTGGTATTCAACAGTGAAACGCAATTGTGCAGTTTTGAATTCTGGTTATAAAACGCATATATATGTATGTATCCGAGCGTAAGTCAGTCCTCTCGAAACAGTTAAATGCTTCGTCGGCTCTCTATGATTCGCCAGAGCAACACAACTCGCCCACAAAGCGGTTCCTCGGGGGTTTTCGGCGAAAATACGTGCGCGCATACCGATAGTACAGGTTCCGCGAACGGGCATATCGGGCAGAAGTGTTTCATCGTTCAAATGCAGTTGAAACGTTTGCATTTAGTTCGCGATAAGCCCCGCGCACTTTTTCACCCGCTCGCGGCTCTACATCGCCTCTCCGCCATCGTCCATCAAATTAGCTTGTAGTCACGTTTCGATCGCTCTTTGTCCAGTTTTGTTCGGATCGGGTTCATTCACTTCCGGAATCGGATATCGGTAGTGCAACCAGTGCAATGCGCGCGTCCGATTCGAATAGCATAACGATATTACGTAACGACCGATGTACTGTCAGCGCGATCCGTTCAGAGTTTCTTATCGATTCCTTCGGTCCGAAAGTTCGAAGATTGTCCCTCCGGTCGATCTCTTGTATGCTCGCGGTATCTCGTTAATGGTTTCCTTGTGACAGCGCCTGCGGGAACAAACGGTCAGAGACTCGCTTCGTAGAACTACGATTTTGGTCTTGGTGGACAACGTCGTTAGGGAGATGACTTCGATACGTATGCATAGTTGTCGACATCTCTGTGAACCCATTGGAATTATCCTCTTCGCGCAATAGCAGCACGATTGATATTTTTACAATTCTAATTGCGATTTTCCAATTCCGGGAATATCATCGTGACTGCAGCACAACGCGTTCATTGATTGACCTGTATAGCGCACGATATTCCAGTTTCTCGATGATCTCAATTTGCATCTAATGTGCAGAAATATTTATGAAATATGCGATCGATTGTGATGATTATAAAGACATAATTAGTATATCAAACTATATATAGTAACTATATATATAGTATTATTTCATGATATTTTGAAGCTATTTATTACTATCGACGATCTTTTATGAATGAATGAATTAAATATAAATGGATAAGAGTTATTTTTTTATCTAAATAGGTCACCGATTTATATATAATTAAAAATTAACATTTATCTAAATACGAAAACATTGTAATATAGATTAATTTCGATCCATCTCTATCGATGTTCTTTCTCGCCATATTTTTCAAAAAATTATGTATCGGAATCTACGTGAATGAATATTTTTTTCTTTGGTTTTTTGGAAAGCATTTTGTATTTAAATCTTCCTGAGTGGATTATTACTACAGGTTCTGAAATTGCTTCTACATAGGCTTTCGTGTCATATTACTAGCCGTAAAGATACATAAGGCTTTGCTATATCGCGGTTATTCCCTCTTTCCTATGCACGGCTGTCTATTTCGTGTCAAAGTACGTCATTAATTTATTCCGCAATTAAATTCTGAACACGTTACTACATTGCAAACGCAGCCCATACGGCTGGCGGAAACTCTCAAAGGTACGCGCGCGATCACCCGCAAGCGCGATCCATCGAATATAAATTTAGACGGCCCTGTTTCCCACGAGTTACTTGCCGCGCGCTACGCATTTAATTAAAATTACTAAACTTAATTAAACTGAACGTCCGCGCGCTATTGTCGGCCGCCATTGTTCCGATGAAACGGTGACGACGTCGTTTTGCTTCGGTCGAACACGACATTCTCTTTTCTCGCTCATTATCTTTTGCGTTACTTCATAATGATACGGTCGGTCTGATTACGCGACTACGATTGCGACTCAAGTAAAGCGAATTAGTTACAGGGATATATGTATTTTTTATTCAACTTTCCCGATTGCACAGCGGCGCACAGTCGCACATTTGGGCGTCCCGCTGCGCCTGGTAATTCAACGAGTCCGATGGATTAAGCAGTGAGAGCCGCGATTAAGTCGAACGATTCGTCGGGTTCTGAGCCAGCACGTAGGTGATATTCGTAAGAGCAAACGAGCGAGATCTATCCGGGTTTCTGCGTCTTAAATTAGAATTTCAGGTGAGATCCGAAATCCGATTCGATGACCCGCGTCCTAATCGATTGCGATAAAGTAGAGAGAGAGAGAGCGAGAGAGAAAGAGATAAGAACACAAAGAGTGACAGATGAATTGAACATTGCTAAAATTAAGCCAGAATGCTTAAATATATTTAAATTTTGAAAAAATTATATATGATTATTATTATATATTTACATAATATTATAATGATACAAATGTTACAAAATATAAGCATATGAGAAAAATATTAGATAAAGACTGGTCGAGAAATCAAACCACTAAATTAACCAAGTCCATACACATCAATACTCCTCCGCGTGCCTGTATATATCGTCATGGTTCTGCGTTTACTGTTTGGCCAGTCTGACAATACATTCGTTCCCGAATACCGCGTAAACCAATAACGCTCGTGCGCTACCGAGCGGGGTTCATAAACATAAGCGAAACTACGCATACTAATTCGGCACACGCACGCGAATAAACATAAACGCAACTCCGAAGAGCGATCCTATTTCCAATCTCTGTAGACGTATAAGCGAGAAAAATATCATAATAATAACAGCGGTAGTAACGTGATATGTACATATTTATAGCTATTGTCTTAACTCTACAATGGTACACATGAGTTCTTCATGCCCATGTCATTTTCAATCTTTTCAATTTTTTAAATAATTTTTAATATTTTTACTTAACAAAATTATATATTTGACCTTTTTTTGAACTTTACCAACTTGTAATTATTTTCTAGAAATCTTGAATAAGATGCATAGTTTTTTTTACTGTTGACTGTTGACTACTTTAATTAGTTTAATACTGTCAAAAATTAATCCAAAATCATGCGTATTGAATTCGGATGCTGAAAAAAGTGTGCCACTGTAGAGTTAATTAAAAATTAAGGTTTATTTCAACGTAAATACTTTTGAAGGAATTGTAAGAAACATACGCTAAATTAGTTTCGGCTTATTCCACTTATTCTCGATATCTTCTCGCGTTTCTTTGCTACATTTCTCCGACAATAGGCGAGAAACTTTGTGCTGCCGCAAACGCAGAACTCGCCTTCGTGTTTTCGAGCGGCTCGAGTGCGGCGAATATTTGTCGAGGCGAATACGCGATGATTATCTCTGCTTGTTTTAAAATGGTTCGAGAGATTCCACTTCCGCTCGGTTAACTTCCTTATCCCGGACCCGACTCGACATCTTTTCCCTCCTCTCTTCTTTTGTCGCCCCACCATGCTGTATTTGCGATACCAGAAACGACGCGACGTTGCTTCTTTGCCGCAATGGTGAGGTCATGAAGAGAGCACGGACGATGTGTGTCAGGAGCGCTGCTCGCGTTTCCGATCTGACTTATCTCAAGGTACCACTCAGAAAAAGGTAGGGGAGAGAGGAGGAAACCTGACGGGAGTACCAGACGGGAGTAGACGGTTGCCTATCGGTTTCCTTCGTAGCAGCGTTCTCCATCCGCGTGGAGACCGTAGACAAAAGATAAAAAGAATTTTCAGAGAAAATGAGACGAGACTCCGTCTCCGTGACATCGAATATTTGTAAGGAACATTGGATCGGATAGCTACCCAACAGGATAAGGTAGATGCAACTAGAGATGCGCGTGTAAAGGTGAATTTACTTTCGATGATTAGCCCGGACGTCGAAGCAAATATTTGAAGTTTAATCGATTAATACATTATTGTTTAGTGGGTGTTATTAGGTTATATATGCATTGTACGGAGTGTTTCAAACTCGCGGAAATTGATAAAAGAATCTATTATTAAAAAGACATACAAGTGTTGAGACACTCTGTACATATACAAATTCGTCTTTGCGTTAAAGCTGCAAGAGATCCGCAATCCTTAATAATTAATTGGAACACGTATTATCACTTGCTACTCCATTAAATAATCGATAAATTTACTCTCATCCTCTATAAATAATTACCGACCATATAATATGCTTTAAGATTTATGCCACCTCGAAGACGAAGACCGAATTTGCTTTCATTTCGTTGCGCGCGATATAGATCGTGAGATATGCTTCGACAACGAGTAGAAAAGTTTCTCCGTTACTTTGCCAACAGTTTCGCGATACGTCATGCAATTTTATTCCGTTAACTAGTTCGGGGGAAATTTTCACGTAACGAGGAAACATCGCGGTTCGTAACGGTACAGCGGAGCACTGAGAGGAATTACTACTAAGTAAACAAAAATCATTTAAAGAGATACTTGTAGTGTATGTAATAAATTTGGGTTTTTAAAAAGAAACTAAATTAATTTAACGATATTATACATGTTATTAAAATATGTTAGGATAATCTATCTTTTATTGAATTTAGTTAATCGCAAAGATAAATAAGATGCAATGCAAATAGATTACATTCTTTTTTTTGTACTACTTTTTATAAAATTTAAAAACCTTTGCTATATTATATTTTATTTTAAAATGTTTAATACAAAATATTTGCGTAAAATATATTATCGGAAATAGGCGGGTGTCTGTTAAGTGTAATTGATTAAATATAAGATAAAAATAGCATTTTTCGTTATTAAAATAATATCTTCCATTAATGAATTCACGAAAATACAGCGAGCAACGAAGCGACGTTCATTAAAGCGCAATTACGATAACGTAATGATACCACATCATCGCAAATAAATGAACAATTACATGTACATGTAAATTTTAAATGCGAAGCGTATAAATAAATGAAATGGTAAAATCAAATTGAAGATGTAATTTTACATATTTATGAAGTTTTCATAATAATTTTGGGCGATTTTTAGCCATGCATAATGATATATTAAACGTAATATATTTCTTGTCATATGTTTTAATGCCACAATATAATTCATAAACGGAAATAACATTTAATTTCTTTCACTACTCGTTTATGCCGTTAGTACAGTACAGCATTTTGATTTGTTATACTGCAACACAATTAAGAAGTAGGTCTATTTTTACTCTTTACAAAAAGAGCTGCTAGATAGCGCAGACGTGATAAGCAATTTTCAAAGTTCTCGCAGGAGTACTGTGAGTGTGAACGACAATAAGAATCGATATCCTTTCTCACACTTCTATAAAATCTTTCTTGACTAGCGGTATCATTAGTCGTGTATTTGAAAAATTGTGCTCGCCATTGGTGTTTCCACTTCGAAGTTTCACCGCTTCGCATTCTCATCGACGTTTGTTCACGTGAATACAAATCGATTGTAAAAAAAAAAAGAAATAAGGACGCGGCTAATTACGATCGCATAGCACATCAATTTACACGCAAATTCAACGATCGCCGGTTGCTTCGTATATTTCCGCAGTATTTCCCTGGCTTATTGATTGTGCACAGTACACTCGGAAAATATAGATAATGCGAAGTACAATAGTCTGCTATCAAATTTCATTTTCGCATTGTTCATTCTTGTTAGGCGCAAAATGTGATAAAAAAAATGTTTATTCTTGTATGAACTCTACAATTATATGCATGCACTTTATATACAATATTTTTCTCTCGCGCATATTCTGGCCAATTAAAAGTCGATTTTTTCTCAATGAAATCGTCAAGGAACCGATAGTCTTCAAATTATTAATGGTTGAGAAAAACAAAATATTTTTTGCACAAATTAACTAATAACAGTCATATTTTTGAATTAATTTTAAATGGATTTTAATAAAATTTTAATTAAGAGCTTAAATAAATATATGATGTTGAAAATTGAAAACGTGCGATAAATGATGGCCCTTTCCTCGACATATTTACACAGATATGTATAATTATTATATAATACGCACATAAATATACACATTACAATTACGTAATTATTATCTATTGCGAAAATGAAATATTATCGCAGATTGGATGCACTTTCGCATGCGCGATAAATTTGTAAGACATGGGAGCGGTTGTACGCTGATATCCGAACCGCAGCATGTGAGATACAGCAGCTAATTACTATGGCGTCAGCTGCTCCATTGCTCACGGGGGCACACTCGTGCGTACGAATCAATCGAAAAACTCCGCTAATTACAATCGCGTGGCGAGGGCGTTGCAATATAGTACGCAATATACGCTTCAGCGTAGCAAAATTTGGAGGGGCGCAAAATTGTAATAGACCCCGATAATTTTTGAAGTGTGTAAAAACCGCGTGGTGGCGTGGCGTTTTTTTTTTGCTTAGCGCTTGGAGCGCCCGAACCACTTCCAGCGTAGGGGCACTTCTGACGATCGCAACGCTCCCAATCACAATATAATATAACAAAGCTTTAGAGGCTTAGATGAATAATACAATTATATTCCTTAATTTGTCTCAAGTAAACTTGAGTAAAATTTAAATTTAAAACTTATTACTCGCTACTTTTACTGAAGTAATATTGATTTTAAATTGGTTAAAGGATTATTAAAAAGACATTCACAAATGTCTCATGAAATTCTTATTTCAGTCTTTTGATCAGGCTTTTCTTAAATTATGCTCCAAAAACAATTGATATTTATTAGATAAAATATTTTGGATGTCATTGTAGTATAAATGTATTTGTATATTTTACAGATAAACCTTCGCGTTTCAAATCGCCATATATAAAGTTTAATGTGCTCAGTAATTATTTTATAAATATTAATTATTTCAAACACTAATCTGCATTTATTTTTTTATTTTACAGACCAACTTTGTGCGCGTAATCGGTGCTACAAAATATATTCGTTCCGTCGTATAGTATAACAAAATGTGCGTCGGGAGTGCTGTTAATGCCGAGAGTTATAGCGAATCTATAGATGAACGCATTTTTGCTGTATGACAAATATTGGGACACGATTTTTTTTGACTTTAGGCTTGGCTCGGGGGAGGGAAAGGTCGGTTTCAATCATAAAATTTCCACTACGGCAGGGCAATCTTCGGTTCTACGTGCAGCGCGCTAGTTGTACAGATAGCCGGACTGTCAAAGGTAGTCGAGGACGGCTACCGGAGTTAGTTCAAACGCTACCGATTGCTTTTCAGATGTCTTGTATCTAGTCGGTTGATTGGATGACTAATCACCTCATCTTCTTCAAGCTTATCTTTGCCTTCTGTTTTGAGAGAATCGTGCCCCAATTGGTAAATGTGGTCGTCTGAAACGCGGACGGAATTCGCGCGTAACGTCACAGCTTGGACAATTCGGTTCGATTCGCCTGTGATGTCGGGAGTGCCGTTTTAAGTATCGCGCGATTTTCGTATTCAGGTACGCATGCGAGCAATGCATGCGCCGCGAACGCGTGTGATTCAGTGTGAGTGCTTCGAAGGACCACTGAGAGGAGGAGGAGGCTCAGGAGGAGCATCGGGCGCCGGCGGAGCAACTTTACGGTAAATAATAATTCATTTATTTGTTGAAAATGTTGTAAATTAAAAGACTTAAAATATTTACATTAGTTAATATTGATTATTATTAGAATTTATTTACATATTTATTACTTTTTATTTTAATAATTAAACTTTTTCAATAATTCTTTTATTCCATATTTGCTTACAAAAAGAATTAAAAGTTCAATGTACTCAATTATGATTTGATAAATATTCATTATGAACGCAACTATAATCTTGACTTATTTTCGTATTTTACAGATCATCAACTATGCAGATCAACAGAATGACAACTCCGCTGCTGCGCATCAATCGGTGAGTGAGTTTATAATTTGTCTTGATTGTTATTAAGATAATGGATCTATAAGATACATACTATAAAATTTAACACATTGTAGATCGTATATGATATTGATTTTATAAAAATTTTAGTTT